TGCAACAAAATCATCTCCTTAAATGAATTTGTCCCGCTAACATCACACTGCCCAACACTGTCACCCTACCTCACTGCATCAGAACACACCGAACCCAGCAGATCCCTTTTGAACCTGTAGCGATTAGTATTATTGCACATTTTTGTACCTCAAGTACTGCCTGAACAATGGGCTGAAATGCAGCCAATGCTGATGATTGCAAAGCCCTCTTCTCTAGCAGGGTTTCATTCATTCCTCACCAAGGAGGGTCATTCCTGCAGGATGGCTCATGCCGACTGGCTGGAGACACAGATCATTAGTGATAGTTCAGACACCTTACCTGCAGTGGAGAAGCTCCCATTCATCCCACCTGTATGGGCAGATGCCCCAATAAACCAATGGCAAAGGCTTGCTCCCCAAGAACAGAGATGTTTTCTTTTGAACAAAGTGTGCAGAACAGGCAGGAGGAAGGCTATTTCAGGCAAAGCGGTGCCTGCTCTATAGAGTTTAGCAACGGAGCTGGTCAAAGAACAGAACTGCAACATCCTACTCACCAGCAATGTGGTTAGGGAAACAGTTCATGTTCTTGGTTTGGCCTGCAGTTACTAGAGAAACTGAGCGACTCTCTTTCCTCTCTGGTTCATGCCTAGGCTTGCCTGGTAATCAGGGAGACCCGTATTTTAATCTAAGTAAGAATGCTTGGGCTGAGTTAGGGACCCAATCCAAAGCCCATCAAAGTCAGTGGACAGATTCCCACTGATTTACATGGGCTCTGAGTTAGGCCCTTTGTGCCCAGGCATTGGAATGCAGATTTTTCTTTTTTGACATCAATTCAAGAAATCAAGGAGCAAATGACTCCCCCTTTAGCTCATACAACTTGTGAATCAAAATATCTGGCTATTCATCACATTCTTCCTCTTTGCAAAAGCCCTTGGATTCAGTGGTTTCTGGTCAGGTGCAGATGGAGGGTGTTGGAGAATATTTAAGGCCGTTGCCCAGTTCATCTTCTCTTGGGAAATTCCTTTCAAGTTTTCTCCCTGAAGCTTGTTTTCTTAGGTTTTCAATTATGCAAATAAATAGGCATCTCCCAGAAGTCAGTCATGACAAATAGCTTCATTATAAATCATTAGAAGTCAATCAGTTTGCTTAATTAGAAAATGGAGGTTTTCCTTATCAATGAAGTGGGAAGCCTGACAGCTGGAAACCCTATACTTTTACAGTTTTTATTCACTGGCCTCATGAACAAAACCGTTTTTGTATTCCTGTGTTAGGGAATCATATTAAAGGAATTCGGTCACAGGATTTTTATTGCTTTGTATCTAAATCAGCCATGACCTCAATATCTATAGTCATCTTGCTGAGCAGGAAGTTGCTTCGTCATTTCTGTTGGACGTATGCTGTATGAAGTGGCCGAGTTCAGCTATTAATCTGGGTCCAAGTCCTGCCTTGTGGGCTGCCACTGAATAAGACCTTATCCCGTGAATGGTCTCATGGCTGCTAGTCCTCGGTCTGGTTTCTCCGGTGAAGAGTTTGTTTACAGCTGATTTACGGTTGTACGTTAGCTATCAGCAGAAATCGCTGGACAAAGGGAGGTGGTGTGGGGACTCAGTTGCCTGTTGGATTGTCCTTTGTAGGACCCAGGCACTTGATTATTCTGCGGCACTATTTCATAACTCCCAGGGCTTGCCTAGACATGTTGGAGAAAGTACTAGCCAGGAGACGGTTCAAAGCCCCATCAGCTGATATGCTTCACCAGCCCACATGGAGCTGCATTCAACAGGGAAGTGGAAAAAAAACAACCGAGGGATTCCTGAAACCTAAGATCAGCCCAGGCACTGAAACCAGTGGCAAAACCCCTATTGACCGCAGTGACGCAGGGCTGAAGCCTGTACTATCATGCAATAGCTGTCTTTTTTAGGAGCTAAATTTAACTTTCCTTTTAATACTCATTTTCAGTTCAAATAGTGTTAACTATAACCTAACCCATCCTGATGATACTCAGTTTTATCCATTTGTGCTCCCCCAAAATGCCATCTCCTTTGCAGGGCAAGTGTTTTTCCACTGGATAGACATGATCAGCAATGATTATTACCTTGTTAATCACTACTGCACAGTGGCAAAATGTGCTCAACAAATAGTAATCTTGTCCCAAAGCATTTACAGTGAACAAGTAGGAAAGAGCCACCCAGGGCAAATATCAGGGGTGAGATAGGCATTAGCATATTAGCATTATTTTTGCCCTGCACGCTAATGCGCAGTAGAATTAGGCTACTGCACAGTTACTGTCTCGTGTAGATGCATCCTCTGTTCCCAATGGGGACCCGTGCTGCCCCTTGGTACTCATGTGACCAAGCGAGGCAGAGAGAAATGAGTTAAGGCAAATACCAGCTGCACATATACAACTGAACTAGAAGTTGTATCTACAACTACATCTACAACTGCGGTAGAAGTAACAGGAAGAGGTTGATTCCTGCAACTAGCAATCTAGTACAGTCCGCTCGTACTTCTGCATCTGCCTATAATGTGGTGCTCTGCAATGCCTTGGGGCCTTTAATCAGAACCAACCCACCATAATCCAGCTTTAGGGGTGGGAGATAATGATCCTATTTGTTTAAATCACTTCTCCAGCAGGTTCCATTAGTGTAAGTACCAAAGAAATATAGCAGCAATTTTCCAACAATTCTTTCTTGTTTGTGAAATGTTTCCTAAATGATGACTGCTGTTACCAATGCAAGCACTATATTCCCATGAGTAAAAGTTCCAATACATGATAATACATTAGCGGGATTTAACAATTATATCTTTGTGCAGCAGTCCATTGGAAAAATGCTGAGTGAGTTAGCTTTCAATCTCTGCCTGTGGAACAACAAACTTGAAGAGGCTGAGCTTGAAATAAGTGCCTTCTCATGAGACGTGCTATGTAGGGGCTTGCGATTTGCCCAGCTGAGAGTGCTAAATCCAAGCTTGAACTGCACTGGCAGAGCTGCCTGTGTGTACAATGGGACTGGAATAGCAGAAGCATTGCCATTCAAGTTCAAAAGTCATTGCAGTGCTATTCACAGAAGGGCAGCAATAAATATTGAGGTCAGGAGTGAGTTTGTGGACACCTGTCCACCTGAGGCTTGGCTCTGGTTCATACAGTCAGACTTATTAGCATTTATATGACCAGAGTCACTGATAACATTTTTTTAAAAATGCCCATTTCCATAATAGCAGTTTCCACGAGGAACCTTTTCTGTGACATATCATCAAACAAAAGATGTTTAAGAACAAGGAGAAGCTGATGGGGTCATAAGTTGTGTCTGCAGGATTTACAAAGGGAGCCATTCAAACCAGAAAATTAAATTACCCATCAGAGGCTTGCCATTTTAAAGCTATTTTTAATCTTCAGAATCTAGTTCAGCCCTTGGGCACGGACGTTCAGTTTGTGGCAGACAATCGTGCATAAAGGTGCCTGTTCATGAATTCTTCTCTATTGTCCATTTTGGCTTACAACATGCCCAGGGCTCAGTAGAAAATGAAATTCCTTACAGATTTTGCAGCTAGAGACTTATACACCCCTAAAAAAATCCTGTAGGGAATGAGAGCTGTTCTACATAGTAATACATTGCAATCATTTCCTGCAACCTAACTCCAAGTCTCTAGCAAGGCTTGCACTGATATCTCTTGCCCTTTTATGTTGGAAGAGAAAAGGGAAGAATGACTCATGCTTTGCCTACGCAACAAGCACAATCTCTGTTTGTCATTACAGGCTGTTGTGTGCATTGCGGGACGCGCACTAGGGAAACTTATAGTTGAGACGTGGGCCTAGGATACGAGAGAGGGGTTCAATACCTGCATTTCCCAGAGATGATGTTTTGGAAGATTCACTTCATCTTGCTGTCCTTTGGTTTCTCTATCTGTAAAATGAAGAGTCCACATACCTGTCCAAAAAGGTATTAGGAGCTTTCATGGTGATAGAAGCCTAGCCGTTGGGGGAATAGCAAATGGGAGAGTAGAAGCTTATCCCCCACAACTTTTTCCCCCTCTTTTTTTTTGCTGCCACCTCCTTAATCAGACTTTCTAGTGGTGCAAAAGGGAACTGATAGAAAGCAAGGAAATGCTTGGGACAGATGGGACAAAAGGAATTCAGAAGAACAAAGCTGGGCATATAATGCAGATCTAGGCCCCAGTCCCTTAAAAGTGCTTGTACACTTGCATAGATCACCTATCCCACTGATATAAATGGAAATATTCACATGTGAAGTTAAGTGTGCCCATAGACCTACATGACTAGGCTCTTAATTCTTCCAGTTACTGCAGCTTTCCAAATTAAATCTAGACAAAGAACATGCTGGATGCTGATCTGTGACTGGTTTTTTCACTTGGATTGTACCTGGTGTCTGACAGTGCCAAGGTAGTTTCTGGAGATGTCAGTACATCTCAAAAGGATCAAAAGATTCAGCCTCCTTCTCCATGAGGCACTGGCTAATTATTGCCCCAGTCCTCAACCAGTGAAGAACTTACATTTCAGAAAGTGCCTTCTTCAAAATGAACCTCCAGTGATCTTCATCGTATTTATGAAAATGTTTTAGAAAAATCAGCAATACTAAAATGTATTAAAACATCTAAATGATGACACAAGCAGTGGTAATGACAAAAAAAAACCCCAGTAGTTTAATTTTCAAAGACAGGATGATTAATTTGCAAGCTATCTAAAAGGCAAGCAGCTCTGCTGTTTTAATTCTTTAGCAACTAGAAAGGATAACTCCAATGATTAATTATTGATACTGGTATTGCTTTCTTTCATGATGTATTTTTCACCTAAATTCTAAATAAATGTGTATAAGAGAGCTAGATTAACATGCCGAAAATAAAATGTAGCATTTTAAGTATGCTTTAAAAACAGGACCCAATACATACTGAAAACAAGCAAATTGAAATCAGCTAGCTGTCTTCCCCTAATGGAACGCACCTGCTCGGCTGTTAAGCTCCTTTAATTGCTAGTTGATTTGTAATTCTACATAAACCTGCAGCCAAAACTCTTAGAGAAGAAATAAGGAAGGAGTTGATCTTGTAAGGGTAGGTGGTCTTCCTAAGTGGGACAGTAGCATGGTTTTTTTTTTTAATTGTCAAACAGTTTTAAGTATGTATTGTAGTTTCAGTGTATGGCAGTTTTTATGATGGTTGCAGTTCTGCTTGCTCTGACTTGAAAGGCTCTTACTTTAAATATAACCTTCACTCTTTGGCTTTATTGTATGAGCTCTATTGCTAGAAGGCCCTTGCTGCCTGAGGATTAATGAAACTTGTTTTTTAGTCACAGGTTGCTCCTCCTTGGTTGTAATACTGTCTTGTACTTTCTATATAGCTTCCAATAAAGACCTGCTCACTACTGTAGTATGTATCTGAGCACTATGCTGTCAAGGTGACTAATGCCTTTGCAATGGCAGACTTACTAGTCTGGCCTTGTCTATTTAATTCCAACTCCATGGGGTAGAAGTCTCTGAAGAGGCTTGTAAACAGGCTCCACCAATATCTCAAGATGGTACTCCTGGAAGTAAGAAGCTAGCTCTTGCAATAAAAAACCATAAGTGTTGTGGTGTTATAAGTCAGACTAGAAACAGCTTCATTGCAATTCTTCCTTATACATGTAGCAACAAGTTGCCTGAACAACTCCTGAATTGCAGGGACAAAAAACACTTGACTTAAGATGCATACATTCTGAATGTTTCAATTAATCCTTAAAAAAGGAGAGTCCTGATATGGGGTGGCAATGCTATAACTAACTGAAGATGGAGGGCCAGTGAGTTGATAACGTATGGTTTCTCTATAATTATTGGGACTTCCAATTCCCTTGCTTTTCTAGGGTGGCTGAGATCATTTTGGTATAGCTTGCCTAGACCGTCTTTTGTTAGTAAAGTTTGGGTTTTTGTTTGTCTTTGTTTGTTTTTTAATATTAAAGGTATTGTATACAATAGAAAACAGATACCTGACTTATCTATCCACAGTGATGGTCTAACAACTGGAATATCCTCTTATCTCAATTTAAAAAAAAAAAAAAAAAAAAAAATGAAAGATGAAATTGCTGCCACAGTTGTCTTCATCACAAGGTTGGTGAAAAAACAAGACAAACTGAGCAAGCATACAACTGAGAAATTTGCTGCTAAGTTGACGACAATCCTGTTTGAAAAGTATAAGAACCACTGGTACCTAGACAACCCATCTAAAGGACAAGCCTTCAGGTAAATGACTGGCCTGTTCCTGCTACAGAGGAGAAAGCGGGCCTGGGATCTAGCAAAGTAACTGGGACTAGATGAGACCTAGATACTGGTAGTGCACACAGTGCTCCTAGACTATCCAGCCTAAGAAGTGGATAGACATAATAGAGGGGGAAGCAAAGCAAATGATGCAAGCCCTGAAAACTTATAATTTTTTTTTTTTTTTTTTGATGAGCACTTCCTGTTGAACTTGAGAGGAATGAGTGATTGGAGAATGGAGAAGAGCCACTAACCCGTGCCTGGGTGCACAACAAGCTATGCCTATATCCTGGCCACTCAAGTAAATCTCTTCTGCCCATGCACAAGAGATGCTGTAGTATTAACCCCTATGTGCATACTCTCCTTAAGGAGTATAGTAACCCTGGATCACTCTGGTGCCTGTAATCCCTAAGGCGTACTGAGTCTGCAATGATCACCAAGCACATGTGAACGGCCACAGTGTAATATCTATGCTAATACAGATCATGGCCCCTGAGAAGTCGGCAACCTTGAGCTAAAATAGCTATCAAGTCTGCCTGAAAGGTTTCTTGTGTATAAACAGGATTAACTCTGCAATGAGTACCAGTGCTACAACCTACCGTGCTCCCTTCTTCACTCCTGTGCTTTCCTCTCTAGGTGTATAAGGATAAACCAACACCAGTCGAGAGATCCCATCCTGGAACAGGCTTGTGCTGAGAGCAATGTGGACTTTGAGAAGCTCTGTTTGCCACCAGAAATGACCATATGGGTTGATCCATTTGATGTGTGCTGCAGGTGTGGCCTGAATTGGGTGATCAGTTGTAGTATAGCTTGTCTGTCTAACATGCACTGAGCAGTGGCGGTGCTCCTCTGTTTTAATATATGGTTTTAGGGGACTTGGGCACAAGTACTCTCTCAGGCTAAGCTAAGAATGGGGTCTGCAAACTTCTGGAGTTTCACAAGCCTGAGCAACTCATGAGCAGGAGTTGTCTTCCAACTAGTAATATATGTAATTGGTGTTTTGCTTTAGCAGAGTGCCTGCTAATATACCAATAGACAACACCCTTTGGTCTCAGTGCTGTTATATCTTTTCCTACTGAAACACCAACTTCGAGGGTCTAGTGCAAAGGTGGCCCCATACATGGCTGTCAGTAGGTCTCAAAGTCTTATGCTTATGAGAAATTGGGCAAATGCTTCCTCTTGCTCCTAGGTATGGTGAGAAAAATTTGCCTTTCACAATTGCTCACTTTGAAGGAGAGGAGGACCGAGAACTCTCCCAGCGCATCAGCCAGGCTGTTGATCGAGCAACACCAGAATATCTTTCTGGTGCCTCCTCAGATGAGGAGGGCTATCGCAAGGAGCCCAAAGCCATCCCTATGGTCAGCAATCCAAACAGTGTCTACCAGGTAAGATAGAGGGTTGGGATGTGCCAATGTAGTGTTCTGAGGGAGGAAGTGGCTAGTCTGATCAAAATGACTTGCTGGGGGAAGGGATGTTAAAAGCTGTGGAGATTTGCTTTGTGTTTTTTTTTTTTTTTTTTTTTTTTTCCCCCCCTTCCTGGTGGTCTCCCTTATCAGAGCAGCAGGCTTTCTGTGCTCACTGATGCACTGCCATCCTCACTTTAGTGCACAAATAGATTGCTAACTTGGCCAGGGGGCCTCTTGACACCTCTAATCTGCTGCTGTTCTTAGTTCAGTGACTACTGCAAGCTACCCATGCAGTCATGGTCCCAGTATCTCCGTAGGAAGACCTATGTGACTGACAGCCTTCATCTGGCAAGTGCTTGCTTCCCCCAACACAAGGGCTACAAAGTCTACAAGCCAATGGCTGCCTTCACTGGACCGCGTGTGGATCGGTATCACTGGGTCAACACCAAGCGATAAGGCAATTGCTGCAACGCTCGTGGGCCATAATGGACTGGGCTGTGTATGGGAGGAAACCTGTACGAACCAAAAAGCACTCAACTTTCTTTATCTTCTCCTGTCTCTCTTTTATACTTCTCCTTTTTTTTTTTTTTTATATTCCTGAGACTTCAAGATTTTTATAATTAAGCTAAGCTTTTAATGTATTTTTTATAATGTCAAGAGATTCTGAAAACTAACTTGCAAAACTCTATTTGTAACTTTAAAAAGGAAATGCTAATACCAATAAATAAACTTAGCTGTGCTTTTAGAAAGTGTTGTCTGACTTGCCACCAAGTGTCTAAAGGATGAAAGCCAAAAAAAAAAGCAAGTGCCAGCAGCTCTCAGTTGGAGCATGCTAACACATCTCCTGTGTTATATTAAAGGCAACCTAGAGGAACTTTGTAGGCTAGAGATGGGCACTGACTTTCTTTTCTTCCGGCAGGGCAAAGTGGATGCAGCTGTCTAATGCTCATTCACATACCCAGAGCCAAATAAACTTTGTATTCTGTCTGAAAGTCTCCTACAACTCATGACTTATTGAAGGGGCTTGAATGTAACCTAATAAACTATGAAGAACACTGTGCTCTGTAGTTTAGCCTGTTCTCTTATAAAGGGGAAACATCCCAAATAACTCCAAGGAACATGGCCAAAGATGCAACAGATAGTGTCAGTTCACTCAATGCTGGAATAACTTCATCTGACAAACATCTCTGCCTGTAGCACAGGACTACTCTCCTACAGAAGAGTGTAGTCCAGGTGTGTAGAGAGGGGTTCCTCTAAACACAGGGACAAACCATGAAAGAAATATGCTCTTAAGATCTGGTTCCCGAAGAGACACTTCTCTCCTATCTTGAGCTACTTCTGGGAAGTATTTTGCAGAGAGACCATGGGCTTTAAGCCAGCAGCAAGTAGTAGCTATTGCTAGAAGAGCTGGCTGTCAGATTTATAGATGGATTCCCTTCCCCCCCACAAGAAAATAAGCCTTTACCTAATCTTTAACCGTGTGTAAAAAGCCCTTTGAAGGGAAGAATAATACACCTTTTAAACTTTACAACCCATTAGAAGACAATGTATGCTTCAGCTGCTGGACAGGCATAAATCCCACTGTAGCAATGCAATTTTACTTGCATTTATTGGTCTAAATGCAGCTATAACAAGACAGCTGGTTATGATTAGTCTTGCCCAATCCTGTCTTAAATTTATGAGCCATCACCTAATGCAGCAAACATCAAGCAATTCAGTAAATTCTAGAAATGTCACTCAAAAGTATGCTAGAGAAGATGCTATTGTCCGCAGAGTCCTAATGATTTCTGTTGCAGAAATCAACATCATCTTCCACCTCCCATTATACAATGTGCAAGAGTATGACAGCTGTAGATTACTCACGTAATTGGAGTTAAAATGGCATGAAAGACTGTTTTAAATTAAAGTTGAAATCCAGTCCATCTAGATTTCAAATGAAGGCCAGCAAAAAGGACTGAGGAAGGAAAGGAAAGGTTCCTTTCCCTTACGTTAGGCAACAGCAGAGAAGAGCAGTGGGAGGACGTAGGACTTCATCCACTTTAATCTTGCTGCATCAGCTATATTAACCAGTGCATGCTTCATAAATTATACCCCAGCTTACCTTAACTGCGCTGCAAGGTTCTCAATGGGGTGAAAGCCACAGCTCAGCATTGAACATCTGATTCGGGCAGCCTTGCCTCACCACTGGATTGACCCGTGTTTCTTTTCAGCACAGATCTACATCACTGACTCACATCCATGCATAAATTCATTTTTTTAAACACATGTAATCATACCACTGTTCTTGAAATAAATTTGCTATTAATAGATTCCAGTAGATCCCTCATGAAAGGCAGGTAGAAACTAACACTTTCTTTTAGTCATGACTTGTACAGTATTTCCATTTAAAAGTCTTCACTTTAAAAGCTTGCAGTGTATGTTAATGGCAAGGGAACAGAGGGATTTTGGGGGACTAGCCAAGAAGTTAAGAGTCCCTTGCGGTCGGTGTCTTCACTTCTTGCACTAGCAGAACTCAGAAGCACTGCTGCCTTATGGCTTCTCAGTACACCCGTGGCTCAGAGCCTGGACACCTGCCACTTCAGCTTTGATCTGCATTTTTTTTTAAAACCATTTGTTTGTGCAAACAGATGTAGCTTATTGATTAGTGTTTCGGCTGGTCTCTGAACTCTCACACTATGCTGTGAGTGCATACTTCACAAGGACACTAATCAAATCATCCTTACGAAGAACATGAAAGAAATCAAATAGCTGACACTGTTTTAATTGCACTGAAGTCATTCACAACAGACATAATCACCTTCAAATCTATATGCAGGGCTCGCCTTTCATCTCCCCTTGCATTATTAAGGTCAGAGATAGCATCGCCTCTCCTAGAGCAAGGAACAGGGAGCATTCAGCTCCTACAGACATCAGTAAGAAAGGCCCAGTAGTTTTTGACACTGGGCCCTGAAATTTGGACAAGAAACTGCTTGCAACAATTTTAAGGGCCAAAAGTGAATATAGGGGTTGCCAAGCTACGTCATTTAATGCTGTTCAGACATTTCTGTAAGCTAGATTGATATGAATTTTTATTTCTAAATCCCCACCTGGTTCCTTTTTGATGATCAGTTGAGCTCTGGCTTGTTTGTGCAATGATGATATCCAAGATTTGTCAACTGGTTATTTAGCACTGATTACGCAGTATTGCTGAAGAAGTCACAGAACCATTTGGGCCGCGGTCCTGCCTTTTTCAATGATACCAGGCAAGCTTTTTTAATAAGCAGCTGGGAGAAAGGACACCCACAGTGGAACAACACGAGATGTTTCTTCAGTGCAGGGTCTGAAGAGCCACATTAGGTTTTCGCTGCCGAACTATCCTCTGTGGTTTTAATTTGCTGTGATAACGTTACCATAACCCACCTCTGCCTTCTGCTATTTTCCCCTCTAACATTTCTATTTGCTTTACCAGACAGTCCTTCTCCAAACCAATTATTTCTAGATGATCAAAGGGCAAATCATCATTGGCAGCACTGCTTAAATAGTGATGCTCCTCTTCCATGATTTTCACCAGCTCTTCCGTTAACGCGTCCAGCTTCTCTTCCATTTCTGCAGGACTGAAGGAAGAGCAGTTTTCTTCTCGCAAGCTGAAGAAATGGGAGCACAGATGTAAGACTTACTTAGACAGTAGGAGAGCTGCACCTATAGAAATATTTCTACTTCTGCTGCAGAGTGAGTAAGGCCCGGATGAGAGCTGGTTTGTGGAGGTTTAACCCATGTACCACTGAGCGAGGACGGTGGCTTGGAGGGAAGCAAAAAGGAAGATTAACAATTACGGTAGCTTTGTTCTCACAGGAATTTTGCAATTCCCTGTGACATGACCTTGCCATTCGGAGGCCAAACACTGCTGCAGCACATCCACTATGAAGTCAGTGGAGTTGTATTAATGAGGGGTGTGACCTGTCGTGCTTTTTTTTATTCCAACATGTCTTCGACCATCTGATTATGCAGCCAGGCTCCATATTGGAGACCAGCGCCAAAGGAAGGGGCTGGAAATGTACTTGTTTCATATCAGAGATTATTTTGATGCTTCTTTTACGTACCACTTAATACCTCCAGGCAATAACTCTCACCTTGTCCTCCCAGCAGTGCTCTTCTCTTCGCAGTCAGCTGAGCTGGGGATGAAATGTTCCCTTTTCTTTCCGGACAGTGTATTCTTCAGCAAGTCCTCAAGATTTGCATGGAGCAAGAGGTTCCTCTTACACTTTGTGACCAGAGAGCACAGGTAAAAAAAGGAGGACACACGTCATCCTGGGCTTTAAAAACCTAGCCTCTGCCTCAAATGCATTTCCAAAGACACCACTTTCTCCAATGCCCTGGTATGATTTGTGTGGGACTAAAGATTTCCTCCCAGCTCAGAGTATTTCCCAGTTAAGAGAGTCAGCTTTTGAAGACGTTTGATCAGAACTTGCACTGAAAACGATGGCCCTATCTCTGTAGCTGTGCCATGTACCTCATGCTAAAGAAACATGTCTAAATGATGTTCCTCCAGGTTACAGGTGTTGCCAAGAGGGCAAGCAAGCGGACAACGAATATTATTGTTCCACTTATCCAAACAGGAGAGCCTCAGCAGGTGTGTCAGTGAGGCTCCATTGATCAAGCCTGCTGTGGATCTGCTCCTTTGTTCTTTTAATAAGCATATATCCCTGTCAAGGAAGTAAAGAGCACTCAACTGCCTCCCAGCTGAAGACTCGCCCCCTCGCTCTGTGGAGTGGATGCTTTGGATGACAGACTATCAGGAGGGGTCAGTCCTGCAATCCACCTCTTGGCAGGGCAATCGAAAGGCAGCTGCTGAGGTTAGAGGCTTAGCTGATTTATAGCCTATTTAATGTTAAATTACACAGCCAGAGCACTACTGTGTCATAGGCACTCGTTAAATTATGAGTGCAGCAGAGATTTGCCCACCTTGGCGGTGGTGCTGCCTGCTTCAGTTCTGGAGCTCAGCATGGGAAGGGACCTTCTGCATCCTTGAGTCCAGCCCCTGCTCTTGCAAGCCCCGCATCACGCAACCCCATTCCTACAACCATTCACTTCCACCTTAAAAGCCTTGGCCCACCCACCACTACTTCTAGTGAAAGCCTGTTCAATCCCCTTACTTCTCTGGGGGTTGGGTTAGAAGCTGCCTTCTCAGTCCCAGCCTCAATTTATTCACGGTCACCTCATACACATTTATGCCAGCGTTGTCCTGGAGCGAACTTGCTTTTCTCCCTGTGCTTTTCTGGTGCTTGCCCTTCTAAGATATTTGTAGAGAGCAATCATGTCCCTTCTCAAACTTCATGTTGCTCTTCTGAACACATTGAGATTGTCTAGGCTCATCTTCTAGACAGTTCTGCTCATCATCCTGGTAGCCCTTTCATGCATTTGTTCCAGTTTGTCAGTGGGTTAAATAAACCTACTGTGCAGACTGGATAATCATTTATAGTTCCAATATTGCTCGCACAAACCCTAGCCAGTCCTGTGATGAGTGGGCTTTTAGCTGTATTGCCTAAGCACACTAATTGGGACAAAATCCACCTGTGGGCAGTAAGCCAGCAGCAGCCTAATGTCGTGCCTACATCCCACCTATGAGGCAGAGCGCTTGCACTGGTCTTGTGCACAAGGCCGACCTAACTGATGGGGGAAATGGGAGCGCAGAATCCATTGTATGGAGCAATAAGATGCATAGGGCCATTCAAATGCACCAGGGTTCATCCGCCTTCTAGTTACCTCCTCAGAGGTCTCAGTCTCTGTGGATGATTCAACTTTTGCATCAAAAAGCTGAGAGAGAAGATTTATGTTCCCTTCCACGAGTGGTTCTCCCTTCAGCAGAATCTCACTTATCCTCTCAGAGGATTTATTGTCCTGCAGAAGTGCTGACATCCGGAGTCTGAGAGAGAAGGTTTCACTGAGACAGGCCTTTAATGCCTAGGAATGGAGATAATTCATTTAAAAAACTTGAAAGCATTCATTTAAAGCTAACTCTTTAATAAAGGCAATAGCTAATTAGATGGGCGAGTGAATGGGCAGTGAGTTAGAACAATTGCTTTCCAGCTCTGGAAGCCCAGATTCATGTCACAGAAGAAATGGGTCTATTGGCCTGGAGGTATTCTCTTGGGAGAAGGGTACAGATCCCACATGAACCAGGTTGCATGGGTTAATATGATCCTGCCAAGACCACGACGGCAGGGCTACCAGCAGCACGGGCAGCAGAGCTTTGTGCATGTCTGCAAGTCCTTCTCCGTCATGAGCACCAGTGAACATGAACAGCCATCTGCCAGCAGTGCAAGACTGAGGAGACATACCCATGACCCAGGGGGTAAGGAGAGCATCTCCAGAGACCCAACTTGTATCAAACACCAAGAGTCACAGAGCTGTTAAACTATCTGGAGAAAAAATATATTGTTTTGCAATGCTCCCCCCAGCACAGATCTTTAAATATGCTTCCCCAGCAACTTTATACTCCTCTAGAGTGGGCAATAGATTGCTAGAACAGGCCTGTCCTTTCTTTCTTCTTTCCACACACTATAGTCCAGCTACAAAAGAGTGTAGCAAGTATTTCTATATCAGCTTTGTTCATCGACAGGAGATTATGCACCCATTGCTCTGGATCTTCAGGCTGTTTTACAACAGGCTGGCAACAGTCAGCATGAAGCGGTGTTCTTTCACTGCGTGACCAGCATCCTGATGACACGCTTGCCACCCTGCTAGGTTATCAGTGTCGAGTCCCGTGAAAACAAAATGAGCGGTTTGCATTAATGGGCAAGCATCTTATCCCACCTCCCCTCTTGCTGCTTATTAATTACAAGCAAAGGCAGGAGGTGCCAAGAAGGTAAATCTCTGTGCAGAACAAGTCGCCTTCATGCAGCTGGATACCCAAGGTGTTTTGATACCTGATAAAACAGTCTCAGAAAGGCTGGGCTGGAGTCCTGGCTGAGGTCAGCGGCAGTGATGTGAGCCAGACAATGCACCAGCAGCAGAAGGAAGCTACCCACAGAGCCCAGACACTCTCTTAAAACAAATAATTTCTTCTCGAAATTCTGAGAAGGAAAGAAAAAGGGTCCAGAGCAGGTAGAGATAACAAGGCAGCATTAACCCAGGTGCAATGTGTTGCTTTTATGGACACTGGATAAATTCTGCTTAGAGTCCCTGGGGTATATGCCTATACCCAAGTGCAAAAAATTGTGATTCTGGAAGGTTTTATTCAGGACACAGTAATGTGCAACCTTACTATTTTTCCCCCCCGTCATGAAAAAGCCCATTTTTGGATTCATTTGCAGAGGGCAACGGCTACATTTCTGGCACTCTGCGCTTGTATGAAATATTCTCTCTTCTTTCTCATGTATCCCAAATGTTACAATGATATACGGCTCCTCTCTTGCTATGGTGCTATAGACATAAACACCCCTGGATCAGGTTTTAAACCCTTTCTCCTAGCGTGCTTACTCCCCTGATTTTAAAGGAGGCTACTTAGAGTAAGGCACCACTCTGTGTGAGCAACAGCATTGGAATTCAGACCTAGAAGATTTCTTTGGAAACATGGAGCCAGTGATTTTACTACCCCTCAGACTTTCAGTAGGTCCCATCTACGTCACAGCTTGAAAATATCCACAAGATTTATGACCAGAACTATCTGGGCTATGTTAATAATCTCAGGCAGAACAGAGATTGTTCTTTCACAGTGACATTTATTGTCCCTGTGCTTAACAGTCTTTTCCTAGAAGGGACTGCGTGCACCATGTCTTTATAAGTATGAAATCTCTTTCCATTTCACTCCTTAATCCAAAAAAAACCCAACCCCCCCCCCCCAAAAAAAATCAATAAATCTGAGACTATTGAGGAGGTTGGCTAAAGTCTTAAATGACATACCTGGTAAAAGAAGGAATTTTGGAAAGCGTTGCCCACAGCATTACTGCGAGGTATGCTGGTGGCAATGCAGAGGTTAATTTCCGGAGCCTACAGGGAAAAAGATGGCTTCTATGAAATTTTTTACATGCTTTAAATCTGCAAAGTAAGACATATTAATGGAATATAAATTCATTTAAATGCCAGCTTTGATTTGCAGGGGAAACACAGAGCCAACAAATACCACATGACAATGGAGAGTGTTTAAAAAGTCCCCAGCAGATCACAGGAGTTCATCCTGCTAGCTTTCTAATTACATAAATGAAAGCACACTTCAGCCCAGGGGCCCTGGTGGTTGCTGCTCTTTTGGTATTATAATTTATTGATTGAGTTACAGGAGCCCCTAGAGGCCTCTACCTAGAGCAAGGCTTCAATGTGCTAAGTGCTGAACAGCAGAGTGTAAAAGACTCCCCGCATCAAAGTTTTAAACGCAGGCAGATCAAGGCAGTGTTATTATTGCCACTTTGCAGCTGAACTGAGGCACAGAAAGAGCGAGTGACTTGTCCAAGGTCATGCCGAGAGGCTGAGGCAGGAGACAAAATGAATTCATATCTTGAGAAATACCATCTGGACATCTGATCCAAGATGATTCTCCCATGCTGCTCTAGATGAAGCCATTCCAGTGTCATCTCTCACTCACCCTCTAGTCTTCCTTCACCTACAGCTGGGAAGTTTTCTGCAGCCTGATGCATTTTATTGGTGCTTTTCTATAAATGTCTACTTTCTTATGAGAGTGGCTGTAGTTTCCAATAGGATATTAGTGTTTTAAACTTACATTGATGTGAAGTCGTAGAAATTGTAGGATGGAGATGCCATACTGGTATATGACAAACTCTCTTGCAGAAAGGGCTTCGGGATGAACTGGTTTAAGTTTCCCTTTATGAGTCATCAGAACGTCCGATATGTCCCGGAAAGAACTTCCTGTGCCTACAAAAGACGGCAGCATTTCAACAGACGGGTTGACTTCATTTTACTTCTGAGTTAGTACGAGTACAAATGGACTTTTATTATAAAACAGTAAGAGATGAGAAGACTGGATAAGATTCATTTAATCGCAGAGACTTATAAGCGAGAACTAACCACTTCCTGGCCTACTTCTTGGATGCTCAGTACAGAAACAAAAAAACACCCAATTATCTGGTCTTTTAATTACTGTTATATTTGCCCAGTCAAATGGTGCTGCAAAGTGCATTTGTGCTTTTTTAATCCCATTCAATTAACTCCTTCTGTATCAGTTACAGAGAAACCAGGATCATTTCTAAGAGGCACAGAAACAAGAGGACTGCACATGTGGTCCATTATAAAGAAAAGAAGAGGGCTAGATCTGCGTTAGGCTTTGTGTTAGTTCAAACACAACCAGACTTAACCATGTTAGTCAGCAAAATATGTACTAAACCTCTCATCATGCTTATAAACCCCACAGGGTAGCAGGATCAAGGCCACCCTGATGTACGATGCCTTCCTTTCAAAGAACTCAAAGTGCCGAACAATTTTACAGATGACAAGCAAAACCTCATCCCACCAGTGAGATGGGCATTATTACACAGGTGCGCTGACAAGTTAAAGTGACTTGCCCAAGGCAGCACAGCAAGCCAGTGGCAAAGGCACGTATTCTGCTGACTCTCTTCTCTTTCCCCAACTACTTTTGCTATTAGATGCTACACCCTCCATAGAGGAAAATACTTCCAGGACACCTCAACAGTTAATTAAATAGCAGTCACATCTGAGACTTGATGGAGTATTTCCAGCGTTACAGTGAAGTGTCCTGAAAAGTTACCTCAAAATCAGAAGAGAAGGAAAGCTTACCTTTCTCCTGCTGGCTTTCCAGCAGCCCTGCTGCCTTTGCATGAGTTTGGAGCTGGTCATTCACATCTCTCAAGAGTGTGAGGAGCGGAGAGGTATTTAGGTGTTTGCCTTTATTGGGGTCTACACAAAAGAATATAAAAATGTAACAGTCTGAAATAACTGTCCCTGACAGGGGTTGCATAAGGCAACTGGGAAGCATGCATCTTAAAAGGAAAGTAATTTTCACGTGTAATTAGGATTTTTTGAACAGCCCTTTTCATTGTTTAGTAACTGTCATTTTGCACAAAGACATTTTAAAATTACCAAGAGGAGTATTTTCTTCTCCCCAGTACTGGGGATAACACCTAACCCAGGGGACTTTCTATTTGGCATCTGTCTCGTCTATTATTCAAGCTTCTTTGTTCAAAAACAAAAATTGAAAGAATAAATTGGATCAAATGAAAACTTTTTCTCCTTGCTCCTGCATGGAGTACTTGGAAATTACAGCAAGCAGCTGTGGGCAACTCTTAATTAGAAGTAGTGTTTGCAAATGATGCATTTGTTAGTGATGAGAAGAGAAGAAATTTCATTTAAAAAAATGTAAATCCATAAAACGTGATTGCCTAAGAGACTGCTAAATTCTGTACCCTGGCATAGCCAGTGGGAGTTTTGCTCAGTTAAAGAAATCAACATTTAACTGTGTGTGTGTCTGGCATTGTTCAAAGCACAGCTACTATTTCATGTGGTCTGTGCCGCAGCAACTGTGCACAGGTAGTGAAGCCTCCTACAAGGGACAGAATGATGCAGCAGATAGCGCTGTCTGGGAAGGAAGCTTCTGCAAAAGGACATTTCATGGAGATCCACGGACAGAAAAAATGGTCAGCTGTTATTAGCTTAAAAGCCTTACCACACAAGAACTGAGGATTCAGAAGGCTAATCCTTGAGGCCATCACCTTTTCAGTCTGCTTCAGTATTTTGATACCTGTGTGAGGTCAATATACACCAGTTAGATAAGTTCTCAGCAAAGAGTTGTAGAAATGGTCATACGCTATCCCCACGATCCTTCTCTTTTTCCACAATCTTACTCGTCTTTTACTATGTACGATACATTATATTTACATCCTAGATTCTGCATTTAAATCTCTCTGGGCACGTCTACATGTGCACAGTAATTTAGGTTACTGAGCAGTAACTGAAAATTACTGCGCAGCAGGGGTGTGCTTCTACACATGCATGCCTGTACTGCCCAGTAACTATGGCGACTTATGCCGATTTGGGCATACATTTGCAACCTCCCTGATGCAGATAACAAATTTACGCCTGAGTAGTTACTGCGCAGTAAGGCATGTGTAGACGCCTCACTGCGCAGTAACCCTGTGTGTGTGTGGACTGACTTGGGACTAACTTTACTCCCAAGTCAGTCCACATGCAGCATTACTGCGCTGTAACTCCCGCACATGTAGACACCAGCGTAAAAACTGCTTACTGCACTGTAATTTACTGCACAATAAATTACTGTGCAGTAAATGCATGTGTAGACATGCCTAGTAATACAGATTCCACTAGTTTCTGATGGGGGCAGAAAAACGATCATCTTCAGGGTGGAAAAGACCTGATGGCTCTTTCAATCTACATTTTGTTCAGTTTCTAATTTCTGGAAACGCCCAGGTTCTTTCCTGTTAGGCTTTATTGAAAGAGAGAAACTGGCATTTGTTCAGATGATCTCGTAACAGCTCCCTCGGTCTGCACTGTAATTGTGATCCGATTTTTCAGAACGGTGCCCCAGGAGTCACATCTACTCAGCAAGGACTAATAGCTCCACTAAGATTCCCACTGCAAATCAGACTTACTCTCTGCAAAGAGCGCTACAACCTGGTCACATGCCTGGCTAGGTTTCTCTTGGGTGTGTGAGGAGGTAGATGAAGATGAAGAGGGGTCTTTTTCTGGTTGTTTCCCTTCTTTCTCATTCTCCTCCTGCTCTGGCCTCATTCGCAGCTTCTCCAAGTCCTGTTGGAAAGCCTTTTCTGAGAAGGCCGTGGTGTCATTGTGTTCTTTCACCAGTTTCTATCAAGGATCAGGAGTAAGATGTGAAAGGTGGTAAGGTGGGATCTGTGGGTAACACAGCCTGTCACTGCATAGCACTACCCTCTACTCACTGCCCTGGCATAAGGCTCTTCAACTCTGTCCCCTTTATCCCCTCATGGATGTAGCACAGGGGTGGGCAATTATTTTGGGCAGAGGACCGCTTACTGAGTTTTGGCAAGCCATCGAGGGCCACATGACAGGCAGCCCAGGGCAGATTAATATTAATTTTCTAAATTTTTAGGGGCCCCGCGGGCTGGGTAGAATGGCTTGGTGGGCCGCATCTGGCCCCCGGGCTGCATTTTGTCCACCCCTGATGTAGCATGTCCCAGTTGCCATTGACACGTGTCATATTTGATCAACCCTCCTCTGTGGGACTGAATTTCATATTTAACATAGAAGCAGTTGCCAACTATGGCATGCTGTGGGCAAGGACATAACCTTGGGATTGGTGAAAGACTGTACACTTGTCCTGAGTATGGGCAAACAAAAGCAATGTATAATAAGAGGAACAGAAGAAGATGGTGGTGATGATGATGATGATGATGATGATATCTAAGAGCTCCCTTTATAGACTTTCCACTGTATATGTGTCATCATGCTGCAAAATTTACATTTTGGGACCAGGCCCTACATGCATCATCCAGCTCTTTAGGTCTCCACGCTCCAGTTGATCCTGCAGCTTTGCTCCTTCATCTGATATTTGCCATCTGTCAGATTCTTCCAGCTCCAGCTGCTTCTCTTGGAAAATCTCCCATCTCTCTTCCCTTTTTCCTCTTTTATTTTCTGCTTCCAGGGTGGGTTTTTTGATCTGCAGGGTAGAAAGGGTTGTGTCATTTGCCTTCTTTTAGAATTGAGGGGTTTGGAGAGATCTCTGGGGTCGTCTAGTTCAACCTCCTGCACAAAGACCTAAACCACCCCTGTCATATGCTCATCCAGCACCTTCTTGGAAACCTCCAATGAAGGAGGCTCTGCAACTTCCCAGAGCAGCTTGTTCCATTGCCCTTCTGTTCGGTACAAGTCATTTGTTGCTTACAGAACAGTGCATGGTCAGACCAGCATATAGTGCAATAAATGCAGTTTGAAATCATATGGCATGTGCTGTTTTTTCTACCTGCACTGGATGAAGGAGGCTTGGGGTGTTTTCCCTAGTTCTTCTATTGCCCATGGCTATTTTCAGCTGTTCTGTCAATCTCCTTATTGTCTGCTCTCTGAATTCCCGCAGTCCATCAGTTGCTGTGTTAGCATCATCCACAGCCTGTAGAATATAGACATGGAAGGATTAGAAAAGCTTAGAAAAGCAGGTATTGTTCACAGAAAGAAAGGTTTGTGGGCAACCAAAGAGTTATGATGCAATAACAGTAGTAACACTAAATTGCTCAGACTGCAGCTTTCATCTGAGGAGGCCAAGGGCTCTGCAAAAACATTAAAGCCTTGCATAGTCTCCCTGGGATAGGTAAGCACTACAGTGCAACTCTATGGGTGTATTCAGTGAGGCACGGAGGAATGAGATGGCCACACAGGAGTGAGGTTGCAAGTGCCCACGTAGGAGGCACAACCAGGCACAGAACCCAGGACCCCTCGGTGTCATGCTGAACACAGTCCCTCATCCATTTTTTGGTTATTAGAAGGTGCCCCTTCAATCAAACATGACATTGGTCTGTTGAGACTGTCCAAAACATCCTCTCTCAGAGAATATCCGAGTCAGGGCTCAGTATAAAAGTGTACAATGACAGATTGATACAGCTAGGCTCATTTCCTACAGTCGGTAGCAAAAGTATTGAAAATATTATTCTGACCTTTGCGTGGTTTATTAAGAAAAGAGGCTGAGAGCAAGGAGGTTACATGCAGAGCTCGAGAGCGGGTATCATCATCATTACATAATTCTTTTTCAACTTCACCTTGTCCAAAGAATGGTCTTTCAGGCCACGGGCTACTTCTCTATATTGTTTCTCTCTCAGCTGCAACAATTTGGCAGCTAGTTTCAGCTCCAGGACTGATGATCTGTGCTCCGTGTGATCTTTCATGAGATGCAAAATACTCTTAAGATCATCATCGAGCAATGGCTCCTGAAACACAAAAGGTCCATGGGTCAAATAATACAGCAATGCAACACTAATAGGAGCAGAAAACTTGATTTGTTCTCTTGGTTATTTTGCTCTCTGGAACGCTGCTTCTTGGGAAAGTACAGAAGTGTCATCCAGGGCAGAAGGGGTTAGATACCGGTAATAATGCACATAGCTCTTCTTATCTGTAGATCCCCCAAATGATTTGCAAATGATTTAATGGGCATTAGCCTTAAGCATATCCATTGAGGGGGGCAAGGTTTACAGAGTATGTGCACTGCAGCTACATCGCTCAGCGCTGGAAACAGGATCTCAAATGCAGAAATCAAGTCACACTCACTTATCCCTATCCTTGTGCTTTCTCACTTAAGAGGCAGGCCTTCTCAGATGATCCACATGTTTGCTTCTAACTTTGAAGGCCTCAGTTACTGGCTGCCCAGCTGTAGAAGCCTACCCGGGGATTTCTTAAAAGAGCCTGAATTAAATCTATATTAACATATTAAAAAATAGCAAAGGAATTAGGTACCCGGTTCCTGTTGAGGCTCCTTTGAAAATCCCAGCTTTTGAGGCCAGCTTTTTGATTCCCAGCTCCAGGTGAAGCCGGTGAGAGCTATGGCCCATAGCATAAATACGGCAGGGTAAGCGGTACCAGCCCCGAAGCAAACAAGCTTTACCTCTATGGCCAGCTCCTCCAGATGCCCGTCTTCACTCTGCGTTCTCTCATTCATTGTTTGGAGCCTGAAGCAGTCTTGTAGCATTATTACTGTTTGCCGCAGGTGCCTCTGAGACAGGATAAAATATATCAGGTGCTCAACATGGTTTCTTAACTCCTGTCTTTCAGCTTTGTGGATCACTTGCATTTCTTTGGTCTGCAGCTAGGAAGAAAATATTGCCATGCTTTGTTAGAGTCAGTCTCCTACAGAAAAATGAGAGCTTGGAAATATTCAAGGTCTACCAGCAAGGTTTGAATGAAAGAAATCAAAGAGCTGTCTTGAAGAACCATGGGAACTATGCAGCTAAGAAGCCTGCAGAGGGTATTCTTGCTGAAGTTGGAGTCCTGCTGGAGGTGGCTACGCCTCGCTGTGGATAACACACGATTCAAATGTTTGGGGGCTGCAAATCGTATTGCCGTATGTTATATGTGCCTGTCTCTCCTGTGTAGTTCCAAAAGCAAAGCGGGGGGACTAATGCTGTGGCTACTGTACCTTTTCTTCTGTTTGCATTTGAAGCTCCATTTGGAATTGTTTCTGCAGATGCCTCAGTTTACCCTCTGACTCTTCCTTTAATCCAATGAGCAAATCCCTCTCTTGGTGGTGCTTTTGGAGAAAAGCCATGGCTCTTGTGACTTGCTGCTTCTCCACAGCCTGGGCTACCTCCTGAGCGACTGCTTCTCCTGCAGCTCTGTACTCCAACTGGTTTAGGATCCTTGACACACCCTCTGGGCAGACCTGCCTCTTGCGTGACAAAGCACAAGGATAGAGATAAATGCGTGTGACTTCTGCATTTGAGGTTCTGCAGTGAACATAACCCCATGCACCCCTGCCATGTAACAGCAGTGAACATAACCCTGTACACCCCTGCCATGGACATGCTTATGGCTAATGTCCCTGCACTCAATCCTCTGCTTTCTGATCAAACAGGATCAGGGTGCAGAATTTACCTGGGGAGCTTGTGCTTTCATGCAAAATGGATAAGCCTACTCCTAAATATGCAATAAGCCTAGAAGTAAGTGACAGTATGATAGGAAACCGGGATTAGGATAAGGCGTGCATATTGCCTGGCAAACCAGGGGTCAAAACTTGTCCTAGACTACCAGTAGCTTTAGAATTAGTCCAGATCTGTGCTGCAGCCTCGGGGAGTGACACCAATGCATTCAAGATCTGGTGTTACACTGGAATCCAGTGTACAATTACCCCAGTGAAAAATCAGGGGTAGAACTGCACTGGTGAAAGTCATATTGGTGTACAAACGGTGTCCATAGCCTCTACCCCTGCAGCAGTTTGAAGACAAGCTATTAGATGGGATTCCCATTACCTAGTAGCGAGGCACAGTAATAGCAGCCTGCCACCTACTATTCTAACGTAAGCTGCTCTCTATCTGCTGTGGATCCCAGGATACTTTACACGGCTATACAAAAGTGATGTAACTTGCACTGGTGTACGTGTGTCATGTGTTCACACTTTCAGTGAGAGGCAGTTTCTCAATGCCTCTTTTTCCCTTCTGTACAATAGGGATAAAAACACTCCTCACACCTCTGCCCTTTTCCGTCTTGTCTGTTTATATCGTCAGTTCTCAGGCAGGCATGAACTTCACCTGGGGAATAGTGAGATGAAGAAAGGCTGAAATGGAAGTACCTGGAGAGCATTGTAGAGATCCAGCACTCTATACAGACAAACTTGTTTCATAGCTTCCAGCTTTACTATTTTGACTGCTGAAGCCTGTAATATTTGAGTTGTTGAGTCTGGAAATAACTTTTCTTCCAATGAATAGGCTGCCTGTGGAGTAAAAGATAGAAAAAAAAACATACAGGAGAAACTCATTCTATAACCACATAACCCGGTGGGTAGCATTTACACCACCCTACAAGCACAATGCAAATTATTCCCACAAGTTGCTGCCTAAACCATCTGTGTTGCTTTCTTTATTGCTTTTTAAGAGGGATGTGTCCTCACAAAGTTTGTCAGGCATCAGCATGATATGCTTGCAGAAATGAAATGGCAAAAGCTAAGTTGCCAAACTTCCTAGACATGCTCGTCGAGTTGGGAAAAATCTATTACATTTTACTGTAAAATGCAGTGCGATTAAACAGCAGTGTCATGGCCACTGGCAAAGCAACTCTTCCTATCCTCTCCTTCTCTATTCAAGGATTTAATAGCTAGGACTGTGGCAAAAAATAGTGTGTGTGTGCGCACACACACGAGTGCAACAGGAAGGACTATACCAACAAACCTTGCAAGACACAAGTATTTTAAAAAATGTTATATCTAAATGGCAGGTGTGTTTCCTCTATATTCTCTTGTATCATGCTTATTTAAAATTAAATTCCTCTCTGAAAGGGTGCTTAATTCCATACTTTAGCAGTAACAGAAGTGACCTGACATTTAGAGGTATTGAGTGCTCAGCATCTTCCGCTGAAATACCTCCAGAAGGGGAGCTATTTATCTGAGTGTCAAAGTACAAGCTTTTAAGTCTGGATTTAGATGTCCCTTTTTAAAAATCTTGGTTTGTATAAGATTTCTGTTTTTGGCAGGGTTCCCTTCTTGGCTAAAATTCTTATTGCTACTGGGATTCCTATTTATTGTCTTGATGACAATCTTTTTACACTTTACCCCAATTTTTTTACTCTGAATGAAAACAGTTTTCTAGGGTCTTCTATCTGAAGAACGATACTATTGGCATTAATTTTTTAAAAAAACACAACAAATACCATTTACATGTGGACAGTAACGTGCTCCTCATAGCTACATTTTTAGCTACACATCAGGAGATTTCTTTTGTGATTGTGTTTAGCACAAATAGAGGGGGCTGGACCCGATGAGCTGTGAGGTCTCTTCCAGCCCCTAACAATCTATGAATCTATGAGGCTGAGGTTTCCACTGATGCTTTTGAGACATGCAGTCGAGTCCATCATCCTTTTTTGTGGAGGAAAAGAGAGGTCAGAAAAGCAATAGGCGTGCGAGTGTAAAGAAGGCTGCTTGAACTTACTTCTTGTTCTTTAGCAACGTCTGATCTGATGTGGGAATCAGAAATTCGTGACCCAGGATCAAGCAATGAGAAGTGATGTGGAATTTCTTCTAGGAAATGCAAGCTGTCTTTGGGTGTTCCTACATCTAGACTGAGCCCTGAATTCTTGATGTCTTCCCAGTGCTTCTGGCACAGGGTTTGTTCAGCCTCCTGGTGGCATTCAGCCAGGTCTTGCAAAAGAGTGTCCCACTTCCTGCCCATTGCCATCTCTTTATTGCTTTTCACATTCTGAAACCAGACAGATTTCTGCTTCAGCCGCTAACATTTGGATGTCAGTAACATTAAAAAAAAAAAAAATCAGTAATGCTAAGTGCAAGATTTGGGGAAAATGGAGCAGAAAGATTAGGCCTCTATGTCCATAGATAGGCTCTTAAATAAGCAGCCTGATGGACAGTACTACCAGGCAGACAGTAGCTCTGATTGAAACTAGGTAAGTAGCAAAATAGAGAAACAAGAACCAAATTTTAGGTACCCGTTTTTTGTTAGCTTTTGCATTTGGCTTTGCAACGTTAGAACTTCAGGATCCCTCATGTTTTGGAAAGAAAATCTGTTTTGCTTCAGTCGCCTGTGTTATATCATTGGAGGGAAATGAGATGAAACCAGTTCAAAAAGGAAATAAGAAAATCCCCCTTTCCTGCTCTCTGATTGAGAACTGCAGGCTGAGGCAGCACTGCTCGTACCCGGCTTTCTTTATGCTCTTCCTTTTCCAGAGCTTTGGATGATTCATAAAAGGAGCAGATTGTGTTTATTTCCTCTGTCATTAAGGACAGCTCTAGGTGCACCAACTCACTGGCATGTTTCTCCAAGAAAAACCTGCCAAGACAACAGTAATAAATTAGAATAAATTAGGAGAGATCATGAATTTATGTAAGCCTTTACCTTGACATACACACGTGGGTACACATTCATGGAGCAGACATGCTGCAGGACGGGTACACGTCATCTACCAGCAGGATGAAAGGCAGCAACTGTCCATGGAGCCAGCACGTGACACTCGAGGACAAAACCCAAATGTCTTTCTTCAAAGGAAACTGCAGGGAGCATTTAAGGAAAAAAAGGGGAGAAACCACATGCCTCACCTTGTCTGGACTTCTTGCTGTATGTGTGGGATCTTCGATGGGGATGAAGAGGGCTGGAGAGGTGAAAGCAGGGTAGGTGGAGTGACTTCGGGGCCACTGCAAGCGAGGAATGCCTCCGAATGAGCTGTTGAGGCCTTTAAAGTGCTCTGTGAGCAATAGCCTTCAGGAAGAAGCAGAGAGGAGCAGAAGACCTTAACATTCATTCCTGATCCCTTGGTCCTTTCAGGGCCGTCAAGCTCCCGTCCGCAGTTCTTTGCACGAACTACTTAAAACACTCCAATGCACATCTATCTATCTTTCAACTCAGCAGTGCACTGTGGTGCATCTGGCAATGTTTCGGGACAGAAGGAAAGCAGAGGGCCCATCTGGACATGTTCACCTGCTTGCATACATCAGTCACCCCTCTGTAAACCTGTGACGCAGCTACATGTCTCTTTGTCATTAAATCTGAAAAGCTGGGAGACATGCATGTAACAATTCTTGACATGTACTCTGTCTACTAAGAGAGAAAATCCTGTTCATCCCATTTGCCTTTATTAAGCTATAAATAAATATGTTTCTACAGTAGATAAAGCTTAACACACACGAGAAAGTACTGCTCTCAGTATTCAATTAAAGGATTTTTCAACCCAATTAGCAGTCAATACAAAGATCTTTCAACCCAATTTCAATGCAGCAGTGGTGATCCAAATACAAAAGATTAACCATGGCTTGAGAAAGGCAAAGAAGGCTCCAACCAGTTGGGGCTGAAATGCAGACAGATTAATAAGAGTAGTTACTGTGGCAAAATTTGAGATTATTTAAAGGGAAGTCCAAATCTGAGATTATTTAAAGGGAATAAAATTTGTGAGGCCCTGGCTCCCTACTTTGAATCTCCTTCTTCACATTTCTAAGCACCCTGTCTTACTGAGTCAAATCAAACAGAAAGAAGAGACTACTGAAGTGCATCCTATCTGCTTTTACCCTGCAAACATCAGACAACAGCTTTTTCCCCATTTGTGCTGGAAATAGTCAAGCAATAGCAGGTGAAATACTGTTACAGGAAAGGGAATCAATATTAGCTCCAGAGGGAAGAGGAATGACCATTTAATTCTACGTGTATTAATTATTATAATGCAGTCTTGGTAATTAAATAATCACTAATTATTTCTGAAGTGCTGACATATCTTCAGACTTCTTGGGTTACCTCCAAAGTTAACTAAAACGTTCAGTGTGTTCCAAAAAGACCGACACGTGACAAAAAAGTGGAAGGAAGTAGCCGCGTTGCAGAGCTGCCACTAGTTAGCATGGGATTCACTACACTTCTCAAGTGCATCCTTAAACCGGGCAAGAAATTCCTTGCCCAGGAGGACCTTCCATCACCAGTCCTCCTGTGAAATATGAAACATCCTAACAAGAAAGAAGCAGCATTCAACATCCTGCTTGCCATCAGACACCTAAATAGACTGCTCCAACTTTTATCCGAGCCTAATGAAAAATGAAATTCTCCAGCCAGGAGATCTTACTCCACCCTCCAACTCTCCTGTGAAATGCAAATTTTCATTTCTACCTGGGAGAAATGTTACAATCTTTGCATTCTCCTAGGCCTGAGGAAAGGCGCACGTGCCTGAAAGCTTGCAAATAAAGATTTGTTATTTTTATTTTTTTGCAACTGTGTAGTTGGTTTAATAAAAGATATTGCCTCTAGCACACTGACTCCTTAAACTGCAGCATGCGATGCTCACACTCATCTTCCATTGAGTTCAATAGTACTGAAGCACAGGTTGCCCTGGGGCCCTAATCCATCCTCCATTTCTAAAACGGCAACTTTCTAGCAAATGAATGGCACTGCACTGCGTCTGCTGGTATCACGGATAGTGCTTGCAAAAGGAGAGCTTTGAAACCCTAAGCCTGATCTTACTGTTAATAATCTCAATGGCAATTTTAACCAGTAGGAATTTAAAACTAAAATATTCTTATTACAGTTCTGAAAAAAAAAAAGAAAAAGAAAAACAAATTTTAACTTTTTAATTTGACTCTTTTATGCTGTGAAACTCAAAAGGAAAGTGTATTAGGAGAGAAAGCAAGAATAAAGGCAAAAAGAAGCCATTAAACTGCTTTGGGAATTTCACCACTTCTTTCTCGTTGGGGTTGCAGAGACGCATTCCACACTGAGTGAATATTTGCCTCCTGAAATGCATCCAATGTTTAGACAGCTTGTGCATTTCAGCTCTATTTGCCAATAAAGAGCAGTTAGATCTTTTATGTAACTAAGAGTCTGGTTACATCACGATTTACTATGTGAAGGCTCACAGGAGGGAAAGTAAAAGCGCTGCTATTGATTTTTTGGTTTGTTCCATGCTTCCTGCTGCCAAACTGAGACTAAGCTCCCCGTTCTGCAGCCACTTCTGATTAGCCGGCAGAATTAATAGAAGTGGAGGCAACCATAGTGAAACTAATGCAGGCCCATGAGAGTCACATATTTTATCATTTCTCAGGATTAAAACTGTCTTGTTAGGCAGAAAGACCCGGCACAGCACAAGTTACCAAGCCGGCTTCATATCACATGTGTAAAAAGTACCACTGCCTCTAATGCAACTCCTAACACATACCAAGGGCTCATTTTGTGCTGCTTCCATTTGTAACATTCTGGGATCTAATTGTACCAGCAACCATTTTAAAGGACTTGGAATAAAATAAATTGATCGATTGTACCTTTATCTGACCCCAGAACCAGCATCTCAGGAGACATAGGACTCCTTTTGCTTTCCCCCAGCGTCTGAATCAGAGACTTCAGCAGAGGAATCAGCTTTTGATGGATAACTTCACTTGCGCCCTGGGGGACGCCTGCAAAACTGTAAAATCTGGTCCCCGGGTAGCTCTCAAAACACTGTGGTGTCCCAGAGAGACGAGCCTGAAATAACACAGATCAGGTAAAGGCAAACACCAATACTTGTAGCTCATTATATGCATTATTAGTATTACTGGAAAAGCACCCTGTCATGCTGTACTTCCATGCAAAGCCTACATTGCCAATTTACAGCTATTGCATGTGGATCTGCAGCTCTGAGCTTGCCTCATGGCAGTTTGTAGGCCTTTGGGTGGTAATGCAGCTCCAAACTCTTTAAATTATTCTCTCTCTCTAAAGTTGGTGTAAAAGTTTTAAGAAAAACAATTTAAATTTTATTACATGTGTTTAATGGCCTCCGTTTATATGGGATCCATTTGCAAGAACCAAGCACATGATAAAATACAGTCTATTGCATGCACTACAATATAATGGCCTCATTTCATTTAAAGTCCCAAGTTGGAAGCGAGCCACAGATGCAGGCGAGAGGCTCCTAAAGAGTGAGAAGCAGCAGAGAGGTGAAAAGTAGGGGAAGTTTCAAAAGAACTGGCACCAGAAGGAACTTTGAAGCAAGGAAAAGGGAAAGGGAAGGTGTTTTTAAAATCCCACTGCTCTGATTATTCCAGTGATCTTACTTCCAATGAAATGTCACATAAAATGGGATAGGGAAACCAGTTGTTCCGGAGAGTGAGAGCCCGACTCCAAATCTAACTTCAACAGGATTTGGATCAGGTTCTAAATAAGACACAGGTCTTGTTGAAGACACTGTAACAGCCACATGGGTGAGATTGCTGAAAGTCAGTTAGATCTGAGCGCTTCAATCACTCAATAGCCTATTGAAGATCCTATCCTGCAACTATGAAAGAAGACAGTACAGGCAAGTGGTGGAAATAGTTTGCTGTTTCCTCTGTTTTCAGCAGGCATGCTAAAACTTCATAGAAGGCAGGGGCCTTACAGCACTAAAATATAGATCCAGTATGACACATTGCAGATAGCTCTAACAGTGCTGCTATAATACCGCATTTTTATTTACGTGTTTATTTATAATACTATATTTTTTGTTTTAATTTTTATTTAATTTACAATATTAACAGTCTTTAATAAAGGACATTTTATTTATAGCAGCAATATATAATTTATATGAATGTTAATATATATGTTCACGTATATACGTATATATGTAGGCATATCACTATATATCTTTATATATGTGTGTGTATCTATATCTATAGATACACACATATGTGTATGTATACATATATTTCAGTTATATATAACGTATATATATTTCAGATATGTTTTGCAATTCTCAAATAGGGTGATTTAATTTGCAGTTATCTGGCTCTTGGATATTCTCAGTTCTTGCAAACTGCCCACCATGGCTGTTGGAAAATGCATAATGGGATGGCTTTTCATTTGTCACTCATTTCATTTATCACTTGTGTCTGATCTCCAGGTGAACCCAGTACCTTTGCCTGCAGGGCCTGGATGTTCGACAGCTCCCTGAGATACTCCAGCCTGCCATATGCAAACTCCACGCTGCCCTGTTGTTTCTTTATATGCTCCTGAAATTCAGCAAGGAGATGGAGTGTTGCCTAGAGGGAACGGGTAGGAAATATTATCGAATGAGCAGGCTGGCTGCCTGAATCCTGCCTTCCCTTGTGTTTGTGAGTGATCACCTGGAAGACTCACTCTAATGTGGGTGTGACACCACCCAATTTAGTGCATCACTTCTTGGCCTCCCATTACTGCAGAGATCACAAAAACTGCAAGTGCTTTGGACAGCAGGAAAGATAAATAGGGGATCTATAGAGGAAGACTGAAGGGAATAACTGTGACAGTTATGCAGAGCAGCGAGTGGGGACATAGCTATGATTTGCCAGTATTTAACTGCTGTGGACAGCAAGATGGCTTGGCTGGGGGAGCACAAATGAGAGTAACAGGGTAAAATTAAAAGGCAAGGTTCCTGATAGGCACTAGGCTAAGGTCCAACCCACAGGCTTTGAGATCTGGACTGGGTCAAGGACACAAGGAAGTTTCACCTCTAAAGACATGTGACACTTGGTTGAAACAAACCCTTGAATGTCTAGTTAGGGAATGATCTTGCTATGGTGTTGAGGAGATGGCCAGAAGACTGTGGCTATACATATTAAACCCAACCCAGTGTCATCACCTTCCTGGGTCTGAGGCTCATCGCTGTCTCTGCATTCGGGCTTTTGCTCCTCTGCTGTTCTTTTTCCTTAAGCTGAATTTGCACCCGGCTTTCCGCCAGCTGCATCTTTTTAATAAACTCCAACAGTTTTTCCAGCATCTTTCTGATCACCAGCAGAAGCTTCACTTCTTGTTCCCTCTCATCTCTGTTGACTGCAAATACCAAATATTAGCAATTGGCAACTCTCAGGTATGGGTCGAATGGGAACTTAGAAAGCAGGTATGAATGAGTCAGCATAGGGGGAGAGCTAAATGATTTCTTAGATGGATGGAAAGCAATAGGTTAAGTATCTGAACAGGGATTTTTCATCCTTAGTTTTGATGATTCTGGGATATGGTAGAGAAAAATGAGACTCTCTCTCCCATTTTTTCCACTTTCAGCTCATCAAGCAGCCGTAGAGAATCCACTGCATGGTCTGAATTCTACAAAACCACAATGCAGTAAACCCCCCACCCGATATCTCATTGCAGGCTGCAAAATGGTCACAGCAGAACAGCGTGGCATTCATCAGGCAATTAGGAGGCTCCTGCAGGAATTTGCAGGGGATCTTGACATTTCAATATCAGTGCAATGGCACTTTTCAGGTCTGCAGTGACATTTCTCAGCTTGAGGTGAAGTTTGCCCCTGTCTAGAGAGCCAACATGAGGCTTATGCATCACTGAAATCCCACTCCCCCTCCCCCCCCCCTCTGTTTTGAGTGCCTAAGTGGAAGCTGAGGTTTGCATGAGGGTGCATGGCTCACAATATGTACAACACCGCCTGTCTCTGTCTCTTCCTACCTTTCCATTGCAAAGATAGCTCCAAGCCCAGTAAGCTGCTCAAGTCCCGAGCAGTTCTCCTCTGAGCTTCCTGCAGAGAGGATTCCTCAAGGAAATGGCACATTTCCTCAATGTCCTTTAACTTCTCCTTGTATCTGATCTAAAAGAAACAGGAAAAAGATGTAACCATAATGTTACAGGCTCACCAGATGTTCCTTTGCTGTTGATATAATATCCCGTGGCATCAGGTTCAAATATGAGGGCTGTTATAAAAAGAAGCCGCCTCTGTTTGCTTCCTTTTTCTCACTACTCTAGCTGCCAGAGTCCAGCTGGACAGAGGGGTTATACTCTTTCCTAACATTTTCCTTCTCCTTCTCCCTCCTCTTAATCTCTTATTGATTGCAGATACAATAATTGACCCAAGGCGTACAATCATAGTTGGGAGTCTTTCCAATGACTTCACTATGCTTTGGAAAAGGCTCACCCTGGAGGTTTCTCTGCTACCAGGGAGAGTACAGTTATTAAAAAAAAAACAGACCAAAATCATGGACTCATCTGTACCATGAATTTCTGCACAAGTGTAATTGCACTAATGAAGTGGATTGCAAACTCTGAATGTCTGGGGTGTGCTGGCATAAAAAGGGACAGCTTGGTAATTATGGCAGAGCTGCATTGGTCCACCTACTTTGTGAAACCGCATCTCCAGCATAGATGAGCCCTGACAAAGGAACGTGGCAAATGTGCTCATTTAAGAGAAAAGCTACTATATTTCTATACATCAGCTTGGACATTCAGTGCACTGTGCCTCCACTACAGAAAGGATGTGGACAAATTGGAGAGAGTCCAGTGGAGGGCAATGAAAATGTTTAGGAGGTTGGGGCACATAATTTTTGAGGAAAGGCTGAAGAAATCAGGCTTATTTAGTCTGTAGAAGAGAAGACTGGTTGATAGCAGCCTTCAACTACTTGAAGGGTGGTTACAAGAAGGGTGGAGCTGGACTGATCTCAGTGATGGTAGATGACAGGACAAGGAGCAATGGGCTCAAGTTGCAGCAAGGGAAATGTAGGTTAGATATTAGGAAAAACCTTTTCATGAGGAGGGTAGTAAAGCACTGGAACAGGCTGTGGACTCTCCATCCTTGGAGGTTTTGAAGACCTGGCTAGACAATACCCTGGCTGGGATGATGTAGTTGAGGCTGGTCCTGCTTTGAGTACGGGGCTGGACTGGATGTGACCTCCTGAGGTCCCTTCCCACCCTCATTTTCTATGATTCTATGACTTGAAAAGAAGAGGGAAAAATGCTTTCTGCAGAAAGAGCTGCAAAAGCCACTGCACCTTTTTGACCTTTCCTTCCTCTACAGCATCAAGGATGTCGAGAAATACAAAGTTCAGCTCTTTCTGAAGGTATTCTTCCTTCTTTCTCTGGCAGTGCCAATAGTTTTGTCTGGAATTTATCTCATTTTCCAGGAGATTCAGCTGAAAAATACCATAAACAACAGTTTTCTGAGAGCAAACACTTCTTCCATGATTTCTACAAATAAATGCTTATGTAGCTCTACAGAGATGAATGATTTGCAATGGGAAATTGCCACAGAATTCTGCTTACTGACACTGAAAGCTAGGAACAGCCAATACCTGCTTTACAGATCTCCCATGCTGCTACCCATAGATGCAAAATCCCACAAAATAAACCCAAATGCATTCTCAGATGCATCTGGCCACCAAACCCTTTTCAAAAAGGTGATTAATATAGCGGCACTCTCCTCCCAGCGCCTCCCAAATTCCAGCGATCCTGGATTCACGACTGTCTCAGCTTCAGTTCTAAACAGCATTATATTCTGGAAGTGTACCGCATTACTCATGTGCATAGCACAGACACCATATGAATCTGTTTATACTCTGGCAGGCGCAAACATATCTATTGACAGAAAAGAAATACTTATGGTCTATCTAGCTGAGTCTCTGAAGCAAGAAGAACAGTTTCCTGCAGTTTGAAAGCACCAGCAAGCAACTCCCTGAAGTTGTCAAAAACTGTAAAACAACTGCAGTTTTCTGGGCTTCTTAATTACCAGATCTGGGTCTGCTGCTCCTCTTGGTAAAGCTCCCAATGACTGAACTATAGGAACTACCGTGTTTGTCCAAGGGTTGGTTCGAACACCTATAACCGGGCCAGGCTTCCCTGTGACGGGATCGATTGTTCTGGCACCAACGGTGATGGGGACAAGACCTGCAGGCAGGCAAAAAAGTGGAACAAAATACTTAAGGCTCCGAGGATGAGTAGCATGAGCCATTCAGCTTTTTGTGCATCAAGCTTAAGGAAGGACTTTTATTAAAGTGTAACAGGAAATGACAATAATCTTGACTATCCTGCTTAAAAAAAAACCAAACACATCTCCACACAGCAAAGGCAATACATACCCTGTTGGGACTATTTTTTCTAGTGATCCCCTCTGGCCAATGCAAGAACCAGCTCTTGAGCAGCTCAGACAAGCCCCACTGGGTCACTAACCTGGGATTCAGAAGTATTAAAAATGTTCCCCAAGTACAGGGATGTAGACATACGTGGGCAAATTGTTTCCATAGGTTAAAAGGGTGCCACTCCAGTCTCTCTCTCCCCTAACTCTCTTTCCCCATTAACCTGAAGCTGCCTTTGATTTTGCATGAGGATGTCACTTTATTCTTTGTCAATGCATTTTATCAATTCTCACAATGAAAGAGATGCCAACAATAGCACAGCCACTGCCTCCCCCGGCTTTGTGTTGTATGGACCAGTTGTCTGCTTTACCTTTTCCATCAGCATCTTCCATCGTTCCCGCCAGCGGGGCTGGGAGCCCGGTGTTCCAGTCAGGTTCTATTCCCAAGACAGGCACCATCAAACCTGAGCCACCGGGGTCTGGGATTGTCACTCCAAACACAGCTGGGATCCACATCTCTGTGCCAGGATATTTGATCATCCCTAATACATTTGGGAAAAGAGAGGAGAAATAAATATGCACTCTTAAACCAGACAGAGGCTGATGGATGCAGTTCAGATCCTGTCAGTTTGGTTATCAGATCCAAATGACACCTGGAAGATGTTCGCCAAGTGTCTCCCATCCCACTGGCAACCTCGTGTGACACAAAGTGACCATGCAACTTCAAGCCAGATCCTCTGAGGAGATGGGTATCATGCCGTTGATTTAAGTCACCCATTTACCCCAACAGAGACTTTACCTTTAGGTCACTGCAACAGGTGAAGATTACTTTTGCTGTAGTTCATCATTTTTCAGTGGAAAATGGGAAAGTTGCAGGAATTGCCTTCATTTGAGGTGTTTAGGAGGAGGCTGGGCACGGACATGGGATACAGAAGCAGCAAATCCTGCACCTCTGAAGGGAGCTGGGCTAGGTGACCCTCCTGGCTCCTTCCAACCCTATGATACCCCAATGGGTTTTGTGCAGAAAACATACCCAATTTGCCACCATTGCTTTTGAGGCTCGAAGCTATGTCTCGTTGTGTCTCCAGACTTTGCAGCCAGTGCATGTCACGATGGAGCCTGATAGATAATGTCTTCTTCATGTCTTCTATGGCAGCCTTCAGGACTCTCTGCCTGTCCACAGTGACAGACAAATCCTCACAAATTGAATCCTGGTACTGCCGCAGGGTTTTAACCACGTGCATCTGGGCTACAAGCATGCTGGCTTCCAGCAGGGCCCTGTATCCTCCGGCGTGAGGCAGCACTGTATCTTGCTGAAGGAAAGCACCATGCACATGTGCAGACTTCCCACTCAGAGGCTCAGAGAAGGAGTCCCCAAGAAGAATCGGGCTCTCCGAGGGTCCCATCAGCCCCCCCACTGGGATTACATCTCCTGTAGCCAAGGGGTAGAGAAAGGAAAATCAGAATATCATCCAATCTGGTGCTGTTCCTCTGAAATTCAATTCAATCTACTTCAATGGGAATAAGATCAGTGAGCACATAAAATGTATCATAACACTGACTGGAATCGGTCTTGGTTTACAAGGTTTTATCATCTTAATATATTTTAAATGCTTCGCTTAGTTTCCACTCTAGAAAAACAGGTGTATTTCTATGCTGTGGAGTGATATCTCAGCAAAGCCTATGAAATAGGAAGTGTTTTAATTGGCATAAAAGTGCCTTGGATCCGTTAGGGTTAGGGTTTGGCTTAACTTGATCTAAGTTAACAGTTGAGAGAATACAGTTCTTTTTCACTAGAGCTTTCCATAGGCAATCTTTCATCAGGGATCAGACTGGACAGACTTACTCCATTGTTAGAGAAGGCATTAAATGAAGGTCTCTTGTGATAATATGAAAAGTAAGGCAATGCGGGAAGGGCCTGGGTAATGCATTTTTGCATTCCTATCCAATGGTCCAGAGCCACGGCTGGTGGGAAGAGCTTCATGCTCTCCACATTGGCAGTGAAGCTTGCCTGTTTTTACCGGCTGGGGGTCTGGCCCCAATATACTGCATTGTCCTTCCAGCCACAGTGCCGCTGGAGTCGACTCATGCTTCCAGGTGGGGCACATGTGGTTTGCTCTAGTTTTAACTATGATGTTTTCTAAATTTAGTTATAAAAGAACAAAGGTGTGAAAAATGCATTCTATAAATGTAGCCTGAAAGATCCTAATAAACCGATTTCATACCGCTCTTATTTTATTAATGCAGCGATTGAACGATCTCCAAGAGAGCTTTCGTAGGCTTTTCTCCCCATGTAATTAATGAATACATGCCCTCTTTAGAGTTGTCTATCACCGTCTCTTCCTCTCTTTGTCATCTTTATGAAAAACTAGGCAGTTTATTGATTTTAAGACAATAATACCATGAATGAGATTCTGGGAAAGTGAAAGCTATTGAGTACCTGCCTCCCCAGGAGAAGCCCAACCTGAAGAGGGGGGGTTAGTGGTTTGAATCCAATGCTGTTCCTATTGCGGGGAGTGGCATGCCACTGGAAGGCTGCAGCTGCCCCCTCTGCTAAGTGCTAGTATGCATCCACATAGAGCAGAGCTCTCAGTCAGTCTCTGCTTTTACTAGGATGTAGTATGCAGTCTCTGGGGTCGTGGCCAGATGGGCTTTTATGCTATACTGCCTCTGTGGCAAAGCCAAAAGCAGCACTGGGACACTTCTCCCAGTTGCCTTCCCTCTTTCTTGGAGTGCACCAAAGCCCAGACAGGCATGATAGCCAGTTAGTGCATGCCATAACCACTCTCAGGTTTCTGTCTCAGCCATGCCTCTTGGCATGTGTTCAGGGCTGCACTAAGCTGGCTACATGGCCTAATTATTAACAGGCTTTGGCATGAGCTGAGCATGAGCGAGTAGGAGGGGTGTAGATCTTGGCTGCACTCCCAGGCTGCCAACAAGACAGCGCAGAGATGCCCTACAAGTCCTATGTGCCTGTTGCGTAGGAGAGTTTCTGTCTCAATGCTGTAAACATGGTGACTGGCCACGTGGGTGGGCAAAGCGGGGAGGAAGAAATGCCCTCGCTATAGCTTTCCATCCCCGTAACACACTCACCTGTGTTACTGTCCACATGGACTCCAAGAATTGGAACAATTTTTCCTCCCTTGGGCTCATTCATGGGCCCTCCAAGTTGGAGTGGTGTCACTGTTCCTGTAAGGGGATTTAGGTATGTCCCACCCAAGGACAGCTTTTGCCTTGTTTGGGGATGGATGGTAACTGCAAGCACTGGCACCTCTATTTCTGTGGCTGGATCTCGCATGAGTCCTCCCAGCTTAAAAACTTTTTCCGGGTGGAGAACTGGCAGGTTAGTCTTCACGGGCAAACCCGTACTGGGACAGATGGGATATGGGACATAGGGGAATATGGGTGCTCCAGACTTATGCAGCTCATCTGAATATTGAAGCAGAAGACACAGTTAGGACAAAGTTAGAAAGCATTCTAGCCTCCAGAGATTACCACCTGAATGCCAATAGCAAGTCTTGGTGTCAGAGATAGGGCAGAGGTTTCAAAGGACATCCATGTTACAAATTTCTCTTCTCTCAAATTCAGAATTAGATTAAGGGAGAGCATCCCCCTTTGTGCAAGTCAGAGCTCTTCTCAGATTAATTTCAGCTTTTGCCATTTCCTTGATCTGGCAAGTGCCTTCATATATGAAGTGGTGTACAATTTAATGAGCAGAAAGGGAAAAAGCATTGGTTAGTGGAAATACTTAAACGTTTTGATGTGTGTAAGCCTTGTATGCTTAATTAACCCTGTCCACAGCAAGATCTGTTTTCTGATTAGCAAAATCTCCTGCTGGTGCCATGCAAGCACAGAGGTAGACTTGGATCAGCCTGCATGTAAGGTTTTTGCTACAAGAAAAAAAAAATATAGAATTGCATGAGGCTTCCCCAAAATCCCCTGGTATCATAACTATATCCCACATATAGGTAAGTGGGTGTATTATGTAACCTGATGTGGTCTTACCTGAAGTAGAGTCAACAGTGCAGACTACTTTAGAGCTAATGGGATCATAGCCAATGTTACCAGCCACAGGGAGCACCTTTCCAGTCTCTGGGTGCAGAAAGAGATCTCTAGACACAGGCACAAGGCAGTGATTTGCCAGCAGCATGACGCATTCTGGGTCGGGAGTTAAGAGCCCAGTGGTAGGATCTACGCACACAGCATCAAGTGCCCTCATGGAGCCATCTGGACCTGAGAAGACCAAGTACAGATACAAGAAGAAACAGACCCTCCATTAACCCTTGAGTATCTGAATGTCCAAATCTGTGTGTTTTAGGGCTATGTCTGTGTGGATATTTCTACCTATGATCATAGATCACATGTCAGTCAGATGCTTAGGAAGGAGAGCAAGACCTTAGAGATCAGCTTCC